GAAAGGAAAGGAAAGGAAAGGAAAGGAAAGGAAAGGAAAGGAAAGGAAAGGAAAGGAAAGGAAAGGAAAGGAAAGGAAAGGAAAGGAAAGGAAAGGAAAGGAAAGGAAAGGAAAGGAAAGGAAAGGAAAGGAAAGGAAAGGAAAGGAAAGGAAAGGAAAGGAAAGGAAAGGAAAGGAAAGGAAAGGAAAGGAAAGGAAAGGAAAGGAAAGGAAAGGAAAGGAAAGGAAAGGAAAGGAAAGGAAAGGAAAGGAAAATTCTAGAAAGCAACATAATCCTTATATTTTTAGTTTTCAGAAAGGTGTTATCTATACTTTTGACAAAAAACAAAACCACTCTCAGTATTTCAAATGGGATTTTAATACAAGGACTTAGGTATTTACAAAACCTGTAAAACAGATGGATAACAGAGCACCATTACCAGCCTTCAAACTAATAAGCATCATTTTGGAATTCCATTTGCTGGATATCTTCCTTTCCCCTTGATTTTGATCTTTTCCTTATTGATAAATTTAGATTCACTTCAAGTCTGTCTAGAATTTTGTGGCCCTATATGAAAACAATCTAAAAGAAAAAAAAAAAAAAAAAGCTAGTCTGGTGTGATGGCATAAGCCTTTGATCCCAGGCTTGGTGTCATGAAATCTCTGTGCATTTGAAGCCAGTCAGGGTTACATAGCTAGTTCCAGGTCAGACAGGGCTACCTAATGAGACACTATCTCAAATGAACAAATGAAACAATCTGTTTACCTGTTTACTCTGAGTTGTGGAATTATACCACCTTTGAATTAATCGTGTGTGTGTGTGTGTGTGTGTGTGTGTGTGTGTGTTTTGCTGGGGATGAAATTCAGGAGCTCATGTCTAGGCAAGGGCTCTATCAATGTATAGCAAGTTGTCTTATTTTTATTCTATCACTTTTTCATAATCTTTTCGGCTTTTTTATTCTTTCAAATAAACTAAAATAATTTGGGGGCCTATTTCATCTTCAACAAAGCTTCCCAGTTTGCACTTGTGTTGAAGCTTGATTCAACAGTTTTATTCATGAATTGTAGATTTTTTAAAATCATTTACAGCATTCAATTTCCCCTTCCAAGAATGTTATCTCGTATTATTGGTTCATTTCTGTCTTTTATATTTCAAAAATTTTATAATTTTATATACACTAGTTGTAGATATTTTATATATCCAAGTTATTCCTAAGTGTAATAGTTTATTTTTTAGAAGGTGCAATCTTTTCTGCCACATTTTTATGGCTTATTCCTAGCATATACTAAAAACATTGGTATACTGAAATCACTTAGCAGTTTTATTAAATGCAGTTTATATAGCATAAGGTGTACCCACTGAGAGTGTACATCTTAATTGTGTTGTGCAACCAGCACCACAATTTAATTTTGGAACATTTCACTACACCTTGAATCCATTAGTTACACTCCAGGTGTTTCCTTGCCTTGTCAAGGAGAAGAGAATGTGTCTTCCCAAGGAGGCTCAGTGGGGATGAGCTCCTGGCTTGCTGATGCGTTTGCTTTGTTTGCCCCCTTATTATTCTAAAAGGTCACTAATTCCATTGTCTAAGTAGTGTTCCATACATGTAGGATTGTCTATGCTCCTTGTCATGAGACAGAAGGTCACCACCTCTCCCCACTTCTGTCATTCTGTATCTAATCCAAAAGTTCATCTTCTAACAATACCAAACTTTTTACAGTCATTTGCCTTCATCTGCACACCTCAAGTTATTAGCCACCTCCCCAGAGTTTTCACACATTATTCCTCTTTTCTATTTCTCATGTCTTCAAGTCTGCAGTTTTCTTACTGAACTTTTATGCTTGATCTATTATTAAAAGTGGAATGTTAGGCTAGGGGTATAACTCAGTGGTAGACTGCTTACTTAACATCTTAACATGTGTAAAGTACTAGGTTTGACAGAAAAATTAATGGGTTATTAAAATCCCCTTATATTATCATATTGGTATTTCTTTTCTTTCTTTCCTTTCTTCCTTCCTTCCTTTCTTTCTTTCTTTCTTTTTTTTTAATTTTTTGAGACAGGGTTTCTCTGTGTAGCTTTGTAGACCAGGCTGGCCTCAAACTCACATAGATTCACCTGCCTCTGCCTCCTGAGAGTTCGGATTAAAGGTGTGTGCCACCACTGCCCAGATTTCATATTGCTATTTCTTTCTTAATATCTATTTTATATATTTCATTTTTTTCATTGCTGAGTGCTTATATGTTTATGACTGTTACATCTTTCATGTAAATTGGTTCATTTATTATTATTATGCAATGACAAATTTGTTTTGTCTGATATTAGCATAGTTGCCCTTATTCTCTTCGGGTTACCAATTGCAGGGAAAACATGATGTTGTCTTAAGCTTTCAGCCCATGTGTGTCCTTCAGGCTAATGTGAGTCTTTTATAGGCAGTACATTTTTGGATCTTGTTTCTATTTCATTCATTCACTGCTCTACCCTTGGTTAGATGCTTTGATTCATTTACACTCTAAAGTAACTGCTGATGGGTAAGGACTTTCTGTGGCCATTCTGTTGATTATCCTGGTTTGTGACTCTTTTGCTCCCTCTTTCCTTTCTTACCATCTTGTGATTTGCTGCCTTCTTTTTAGTTGATTGCTTTCTTTTGTTTCCTCTTTATCTTCATGTGCCGACTAGAGGATTTTTGAAATTTTCATCTGTGGTTAACATGAAGTGCATATAAGATACCTCATAGTTAAGAGAGCCTGTTTCCAGGCATGGGAGCCATGCCAGCATCCCAGTACTAAAGAGGCTGAGGTAGGGAGAGCTTGAGTTCTAGACCAACCGGTGTTACATAGAAAACTCAGTTTACAAAAGCTAAGGGAAGGAGGGAGGGAAAGAGGAGTAATTTAAAATAAATAGTAACTTAATTAAATGATATACAACCCTGCACACTTTAATATTTTCATTCATCCAATATTTTATACTATTAATGTCACACTTTATTTCTTTTAAAATTATTTATTCATTAACTACTTACTATAGCTATAGTTACTTTTAATGTTTTTTGTATGACCACTACAGACATGTACCAGGGACACAGATGAACCTGTGTTCTGCTAGATGCTGGGGATTCAGAGGCACCCCTTGGCTGAAGGTGGGTTACAGGGCTTCCCTGGAATAGGAAACTGAACTAATGGCTGCAGGCTTCCTTTAGGAGGCCTGTGTGAGCATGTCTCCCAATGGGTCTCTGAATGGGCAGGGCTGCTTCTGTACTGGGGCTGGGGTGAGATGGAAAAGGTGTTCAGGGCTACTCATGCAATGGGACATGAAACAGTAGACTCTGAAGGCATGGAGACAACACACATCCCTAAGGTCCCTTGGTGGGTTGCTGCTGTTAAATGACAGCTAGGGCTGTTCCATGGAATTTCGAGATTTGCTATGTGTCTAAAAACAATGACTCAAGGACATGAACTGAACAGTGTGATTCCTGCTCAGTTCCTGGGAAGGTGACACTGCTTTCAAATCACAGCTGAAACAGTCATTAGATGGATTTTGGGATCTGCAACTATCACATGCCAGCGGATCTGTTACCTAGCAGAAACATGGGCAGGCAAGCTTCCTCTTGAATTTTTTAGTGGCTGGTGTCAGTGGTGGGACCAAAACCAAAAGTTTATAGCCAAGTCCTCAGTGAAATGAGTCTATTTATGACTCTGTTGTCAGAACTGTTACTGTTGAACCTGCCACTCGGTACATACCTACCCTCTCAAAACAGTTCTTGTTAGGGCCAACCAGAGTTGCCGTCTAGCTGCGTAGGCAATTGTCTCAACAAATGGCTAACAAATTCCTGTGGCTGTGGGAGGGATGCCTGTGGGAAACCTAATTCATCATCTTCCTCTCTTCACTCTTTGTATGGCAGATAAAATTAGAACAATACACCATGTTTTGTGTTTTATCAGATACTGTGGTACTGGATTACTTGATTGTATATTTTAACTTAGAGTGATTTACAAAGAAACATAGGAAAATTGCAAAAATGAAATGGTTTCCAAGACAATAAATCAAATTAAGATACAACAATTTCTGGTCATATTGGTAATGCCTCTCTCTGCCTTCCAGAAATTCTTCGAAATGGAAGAAGAGAGAGCTGCCCTGCAGGATGCTGCCAATATGAAAATGGATGCTTTAGTCAGAAAACTGAAAGAGAAAGAAGAATTGCTTAAGGATTTAAAGTATGAACTACAACAATATGAAGAGATTGGATTTGGCAGGATTGTAAGTTTCATTCACTTTTATAATAGATTAATTATAGTTAGTATTAAATCATGTAAATAGGATTGTAGATAGCAATAACCCTGGGTTAAAAAACATGAGGACTTGAGTTCAGGCCCCAATAGTCACATAAAAGCTGGGCCTGGCAGCATGTCCCTACAACCGTGGTATTATATGCAGGATCTGAGACAAGAGACTTCTTAGGGCTTACTGGCCATCCTGTCTAGACAAATCAGTGACCCCAAGGCTCAGGGAGAGATTCTGTCCCCAGAAATAGACAGTAAATGAGGAAGACTCCTGCTGTCACCTCCTGGCTTCAGCTTCCACAACACATGTGCACAGGCACACAGACCCACACACTTCCTTAAAGACGTAAACACATTCGCACACACACCTACTCAGAAACGAGTAATGAAAGAGGTTGATTTGGTGCATCTTGTCAATCTCCCCACAATGTAAGCCAGTCCAGTACTTTACTCCCCTGTGGCACATTCTAGAAAATCCATAGTAATCACAAAGAGGATCACTATAATTGTCCTCAAATTTTCATTTATAATGGAAATGAAATAACCCACGTGCCAGTGCCAAGAAAAACCCCATTCTAGAGAATAACCTCATGAGTTTTTATTGTAATTTCTAAGGCTTCAGTCTTCTTTGCAGTTAAGATATCTGAAAAGTGATAAAGCCAATCTTCCCTTGTCAGAGGCTTCCAACAAGCCAACCAGGACTGAACAGAATTGAGGCAGGATAGAAAGATGGGGAAATGGGGCGGGGGCATGGGAAGGACAAGGAGCCTCTGGTGGAAGTTGTGTGAATTCTAATTGGTCTTAATAATAAAAACCCAGAGTCAGATACAAGGGTTAATGCTGAAAGATCAGAGAAGCAGAGTAGCCAGCCACTAGTTCTTACCTCTACTGAATCCTCTGACTGAATGGGCGCCTGTCTCTACAAAACCTCAGACTGAAGGCCATGAGCTCCTATTTCCTCCTGCCTTATATTCCTCTCTCTGCCCAGCCATATCACCTCTGTCTCCACCTCCCTAGTGCTGGGATTAAAGGAGTGTGCCTCCCAAGTACTGGGATTAAAGGTGTGAACCACCACTGCCTGGTTCTGTTTCGTTTTGAGACTGGATCAATCTCTCATAGCCCAGGGTAGCCTTGAACTCAAGGAGGTCCATCTGTCTCTGCCTCTCGAGTGCTGAGATTAAAGGCATGTGCCATCACTGCTTAGCCTCTATGGCTAACTAGTGGCTAGCTCCACACTCTGATCTCCTGGCAAGCTTTACTTGTTAAAGTGAAAACAGAATATCACCACAGAAAGCCTCTTGCTAGCTGAGAATCAAGAATTCTAACACAATTTTGGGGCCTGAAGGGATAGCTCAGGGGTTAAGAGTGCTGGTTGCTCTTCCAGAGACTGTGTGTTCTGTGCCTAGCACCCATATTGGACCATTCACAACCAGTTGTAACTCCAGCACCAGGAGATCTGATGCTTCTAGCTTACACACACACACACACACACACACACACACACACACACTTTTTTTAAGAAAAGAGATTGTATTTTCAAGTAAGAATGTTAAAATATTAATAAGCCAGGTGTCAAGCCTCGGCTATCTGACTTTGTGATCTTACTCTACTCTAGGAGTCTCATAAACTAGCTAGTGTTCAGTGAAGATATCCAACTTCTGGAGTTTTAAGTTATCAGTTGTAATCCTGTTCAATACATCTCAAGACTGCCCTGTGGTCTCATTCATGTTTCTTGACAACCATTTCATTCATGTTTCTTGACAACCATTTAAGAATAAGGATAAAGTCATATTTGGTACGACTGCATGTGAAAGAAGTGTGACTCTCACTTGGACCCTCACTGGGGTGTTTCTTACTTTTTCCCTGAATACTTTTTTCTGTTAGAAATCTCACACTTAAATACGGGTTACATTTTCTCTTCTCTGAATGCATTCCAACTCTGCTGTAAATTAGAACATTCTGGAAATCTTCTCCATGGCCTGGTCAAGGATCTGGCTTTACACAGTGGAAGCCTTGGAGGATAAGGGAAGTCTTCAGGATGCTACCCAGAGTATTGTGGAACTGTGTTGTTGCCCCTATCACGGCTGACAGAATGACGTTGAAATCAAGATGTTGAGACGGAAAATCTCAGATTTCCCTATTGATGGTCTCCCTAGCAAGAAGAGCCAATCACAACCTTCCTGCTTAGACACATGGCCAGTGGGAACACAAATGGGAAGAGTGGACAGCAGAAAGGAGAGCATGAAGTTCTGTCAGGGAGGAATGTGCAAGATAGGCAGGTTCATTCTCATCTCCCATAGGCTCAGCACTTCCAGCTGTCTGGGGCCCAGCAGCAATCCAAAGCAGGACAGGATTTTATCCTGAGCCTCTAAGAGCAAGAAGATGACTGAGTGGGAGTTGCAGGACTGAGGATGAATAGGTGATGCTAGAAGACACATACACAGAGAGAGAGAGAGAGAGAGAGAGAGAGGAGAGAGAGAGAGAGGCACACACACACTGACCATCAATCCAGATTGAGTCTCCCTTGTCGAAAAATACCTACAACCAGAAGGGTTTCAGATTAAAGATTTTTATTTTGAATTTGTCTATCAGTCAGCCTGTGAAAACATTTTACTAAGTTCTCTAGGAACAGACTTCCCTCTGTTCAGTTCTCAACTGTAGCTTTCTATTTGAAGTTGCATCATAGGCAGCTGCTCCCTCTAGTGGTTCAAAAATCCCCCGAGAAGCCACACAAAGCCAACCTGCAACTGGATTTGGAGCACAGAAAGGAGAGAAACAGTAAAGATGCCAAGGGGAGGGCCAGCAAATGGCCCAGCCGTTAAACGTGTAACATGGGTCTGAGGACCTAAGCTCTATCCCTAGAACTTAAAAGTGAGAGAGCCCATTCCACAAAGCTGTTGTCTGCCCTCCACACCCCCCAGGTGGCACTCATGCCCCACCCTCACCATACATGTACATACATTACTAATGAATAATTATTTAGAGGAAATCTCAAGAGGAATATTTTTTGAAAACATGCAAAATAAACCAGTTTTGTTTAATCCATGTAAGAGCTGATGGATTCTTCTGATAATCAGATTTCATTAATAACTTACTAATGTTAATAACTAGTCATGCTATCTCTCCTGGCTTGGTTCTGGGAGAATGCTGATGAGATTGGCTAGAAAAGGACAAGTTCAATAAACAAGTAGCCTAAATGACATGTATGGCCAGGGGAAAGAAGAAGGAGTGGGGGGTTCAGGTTACAGAAACCTGGGCTTCCAATGACATTCTTGGTGTCAATTTTTCTGAGAGCAACTTCATTCCAGTTTTTATTCTGTGGGAAATCAGTGTGACTTAGTTGCAGACTTGTGTGGGTTCTGGTTTGCCATGCTGTCTGTTGAGCACTCTCCCTAAGACCTGTAAAGAAAGCTACCCCATTAGAGTGTGTTTGTGTACCTGTGTGTACCATGCAGGTGTGTGTTCACACTCTCGTGCCTGCTTATGCACACCACATATTGACTTTAATTTCAGCTGGAGTCCTTGTATTAGACCGGCTTTTCATTTTTCCTTCTTATTCCAATATGGCCAAGCTGTGTGACCATCATCTGCCCACCCTCCACTGATAAACAGATCTGCTTGTTGCTAACAACACAGCCACAGAGCTGTCATTCAAGAATGGCTACTCTGCAGGGCTGCGCTGTCCTAGGGTGCCACTTTCCTGGTTGTCACTCATTGGGGAGGCACCTGCTCTTCTATGTGGCTGTCACGAGGCAAGGGCATGCATCAGAATTATGCTTGTCTGCTCCTTCACCCTCACCCTCCTACCCTCTACCCCCCATGTGCCATCCACAAATTGAGATGTCCGAATGCCATCCACAGAGTCTGCCAATACCACAGAAGAGAGCTGCTGAGAAGGCACACAGAGAGCTCCCAGGCAGGAACTTCTCAGACTCAGGTTCATATGCATCACCTGCCCAGGTTGCTCAGATAGAGACCTATATAGGCGGTCTGGGCTGGAACCTGAGATGCCGCATCTCCAGCAGGTTCCCAACTGATGCCTAGGCACTTGGTCAAGAGCCCACTGAGAGAAGGAAGGTTCTGCTTTGGGAAGCACTTCTTTCCAGACTCAGCTTGGAGTTCTGAGACCTGCAATCAGGACCTTATGTGTATTCACAAGAGAAACGGCATTTATCCCACCGATTAAAGACCTCTTTTTTTTATAAAATGGTAGAAAATCAAGAGAGGGGAAAGTGCCTTTTTGAATTTGAAATCCCAGGATGATTGAGGATGGATCTTGGATTATGCTGTGCCTTTAAATACCCAACTAACTTTCCTTTAATGATCCCCACCTTCGTTAACCTTGTTTTATGAATGCAGTTTATTTTCAAGGAGATTCATGGTTTAAGCAAGACAGAGCTAGCAATGTGGGGCAGATGGCAGAAGGAACATCACCACAAAACTCTCCACTTGAGTTTGAGAGAGCAAGGCAGCAGCCAGGACGAAGGCTTTGTTTCTTTCGCTAATGAAGTATCCTCGTTGCTCCGGGTGTCTGAATAGTTAATTACTTGCAGTTCCTGTATCTGACAGATGGTGGCAACAGAGCTAAAGGCTAACCTCTGGACAACTAGGACTGCAGATGGATGAAGGAAAAGTGGCTCACTTTAATGGGTTTTCCTTGAATCTTGCTTTCTCACACAGAGGCTTCGAACACATATTAGCTAAGAGCTGCTCCCACTTTAATCACCATCTGATTTGTTCAAATAGTTCTTAGGTTATGAATGGTAACAGACACCCATGTAATCCTCTATGGATGGCCATGAACTGTCAGGTGGGAAATACAGTCTTAAAAAGATTCAAGTCGGTGTTGTTTATATTTAGACCATAAACACATTTTGTAATCTCAGCTTTGGTGACATGAAACAGGAGAATGCTGAGTCTCCCTTTATTTTATTGAGAAAAGCATGCCATTTCTTACCTGTTCATTAAACCTGTTAGTGCTCTCCCATTTCTGCACGTTAGAATCCAAGCACTATGGTTGCTTACTTAGGCAGGTGAAGAGTTCAAGACCAAGGGCTGAAGGGATGGCTCGGTGGTTAAGAGCACTAGCTGCTCTTCCAGAGGACCCAGGTTCAAGTCCCAGCAACCACATAGCAAGCCAAAACTATCTATCACTCCATTTCAAGTGGATCCAACAGCCTTTTCTGACCCCTAACAGCACTACGTGTACACATGGTGCACAGACATACATGCAGGCAAAATACTCATACACAGAAATCAGTAAGTAAATAGTGTCATTGGGATAGCCAGGCTAGGCTATGTAGTGCTAGCCTATCTCAATGACAATAAACAAAATAAGAAGTGAATTATGCTGAGATGGTTTAAATAGAATGAAGAGTTCAAAGCTCAAGATTTATACCCAAGCTTAGTGTAAAATTCAATAGCATATTCAAATGCTATTAAGTACAGTATATATGATTATAATTCCATTGGTAAGTCACTAATTTTAAAGGGTTTTATTAATGTACTATGAAACATTTTAACACTGTTTTTCTTTTAAAACATTACTATCCCAGGGAGAAAACATTCCAATAATTTCCTCTCTGGTTCCTCTGCAGCTAAGTCAGGGTACAGTTCCAGAAGAAAAACGGCATACTGGAAAAGCCACTTTGTTTTTGAGTGTCTATTTATTCTTATTTCTTTGCAATCATGGAATTACGATAGTTCAGCTAAGATTACTTTTGAAGTTCAAAAGCATTTTCAAGTCCATGGGAATTTCAAAGCCAGACATGTAGAATTGTTTTCCCATTTTAGCATAATAATGTGACCCTTATTTTGAAATTGCATTATCCGTGATGGATTATAAAATTCTGCACCAGTCTCCTTGGTCCATGACATCTTAATTTTCCTAAGTGTGTCCATGAAACATAGACAACCATAGGCGAGTATATTCAGATGTTTTCAATAGCTTTGAAACAGACAAGAGGAAGAAGAAGAAAAAAAAAGAGAGAGAAGCCTTCCCAAATAAACTTCTATTGCATAGGAAAAAGCCTCCATCATAATGGACATGGCAAGATTTAAACAAAAGACGCACATAATAAAAATGTAAATGAGTTTGCTTTACTAAAACTATAACTTTAAAGTCCTTTGTTGTAAGTTATCCTGAAACCTTCTTACAAGGTAATCACTTTGCATAGAGATTGAAACCCCAGTCTTCAATAGCGTTAACTGCCTGCGCAGCCCCTGTGACAGGCATGCAAAGCCACGTTAATGTTCAGAATATGAATTGCCTCTGGGTGGCTCCCCCACCCAGCAGAAAACCAACTGTGTGTATATCTGCGTGCCTGATGGGCTCCATGCGGCTCCCAGCCTGCACACGTCACCCCTTTGACATGTGATGGGCTCCTCACGACACTGGCAGCACTGACACTGGGAAATGCCACAAAGGCAACAAGCCCCCCTCCTTAGTCTTGCACTTTGCCACCCCCTGGCGCTGCCCATCCATGGTCTCCCCAGCCTGCCTAGTTACAGGCAGATACTCAGAGGGAAGTGTGGGTGGAGGGGCCCCAGCTGCCTCCCTGGACACAGCCTCCATAATGAATTGACCTGAATGATGAGGGCACACAAACAGTATGATATGCATTATTCCTGTCAATAAAATGTCCCCATGTGCTGGGGTCTTTGTACAGAATGTACTGCGGCCTTTCTTCCAGCCAGTTCTATTTAGTCCCCTTCCTTTTTTCTATTCTTATTATAAGTGTGTAATTGAATTCAGAAAATTATATGATAGTGCCTCTGTATCCGCATTGTCCTAGAGTTGCATATTTAAACCCATGGTTCCCTGCTTAGAAATATGGAATTCCCTGTCTTTACAGGACTCTTCTTCCAAGGAGCTTAGCTCTCCAAGGACAGTCTCAGAAAAGGATATTACGGAATACAAGATGGAGAATGAGAGGCTGCTGCAAATGATCTCAACACTAGAAGAAGAAGCACAAGCACACCAGAAAGAAAATGCACTATTAGGTAACACTTCCAACCCTTGCCTTGTGAAGAGGACACGCAAAATTTATTAATCTGTTTGGCTTTTCTTCTTACATGTGTTTACTTACACCTAAAAGAAATCAGTTTGATAGCTATCTTTTTCTTTTTAAGATAGCTTTCCTTGCTTGGAATATAGAATTTATCTGTATTTGCACTTCTGAGGCATGCTATGTGAACTTAGAGTGCCTGTTTAAAACACACACACACACACACACACATGCCGCGCACGTGCGCCTTGGCAAAAAAAAAAAAAAAAGGGCAATCAGTTTGTTCTACTTTACTTAGAGGTATTATAAACAGACACATGTGAGCATTTTCTTTCACACGCTGATGGTCTAAACTATATCATACATAAGGGAACATGTTAAGATGCACTTGTGGAGAAGCAGGCTTAACCCTTCAGAACAAAAGACACTCAGTTTTTGATAGAAATTTTAAATGCAAATTGTCCTTTTGGTGGTTTAGATCTCCTTTTGTTCAGACCATAAACATTGATAAAAATTACATTTTTAATCACCAGAAGTACACTGTTTTCAAGTGCCTGTTGCTGTTGGGTATGTGTCCTGTTTTGGTTCTTTTTGTATGGTGCTCTGGTAGCCTGCAGTATGAAAGCAGAGCAAAGATTAAGAACATGGGTGTGAGCCTTGGTGAAATGATTCATAGTATAGTGTCCCTTTAGTGCAGGATGATGCCATGCCCTGTGACTCCATTTCTCTTCGGATGTGGTAGGACAATGCTTTCTCAGGTTGTGGTCTTTCTTAGCAAATCATAAAGTGCCACCTGCTAAAGTGCTTAACAGCAAAAAAAAAAAAAAAAAAGCCCACTGCTAGTATTGATGAAAAGCATGTAGCCCTCAGTCACACTTAGATCTTGAACTTACTCCCTATCTGATCAGCTAACCTAACAGCAGGAAGAAGACTGTGAATGTCAAGGGCATTTGTGAAGGTCACAATCCTGCTAGGACTTGTGAACACCATGCCTGCCGGTGCCTCTACAGCCTGCCCCAAAGCAGGCAGTTTGAATACAGGGGCATACGTGTGTAATTTCATGGTCAGCCTCTCTCTGCTTTTGTTTACAGAGGATGAAATTATGTGTCTGAAAGAGATGTCAGACCAGGATCAGAGAACTATTCAAAAGGTATGTGCATCTTTTACATTGATAAATGACTTTTTTTAAATTGAAATATCAGCACCATTGGTGAAATGACATCATGTCCAGGGTATCTTCAAATGGACAGAAAGTTGGCTTATACATTTCCCCATTATGTCATTTTAACAATATATTTATTTCCTTATTATTTGGAATAGCATGGCTAGTAATAAGAATTCTGACTGAAAGACCCATTGGAATATTGACCATCTCTTATTTGTAGATATATGAACATCCATCTTGTTGGTTGTAAGGAACCTACAAGTTACATCATGACTTTGGAAGTTTCCAACCTTTGCTTGTAAGCATCTATTACTAAGAATAAGACTACACTGCCACATCTTGTTTTCAGGCCGGATATTGGTTGATGCTCTTTTATTCTGAGTGAGAATGGATTGGCTTACTCTGCTAGGTCAGTCTTTATTTATAGAAAGAAAGGTTTCAGTATCATGAAAATCAAGAATCCCCTGTGCAGTTGACACATAGAACCACCAACTGCAGTAGCTCCTCTCCCAGCCCCCGCTGGTGAGCCACCCTGCTTAAAATCTTCTGAGCAGCACTCCTCCCCTGTACAGTCTTCCCTGTATTTCGATCCCCAGTGCAAACAGCGCACTATCTCAACTGTGTTGAGGACCATGCCTGGAACCCTGAAATAAACTCCTGTAGGGATGCATAGAGTGAAGATGCATTTAGGTTTCATAAAATTTACAATGGAAAAGGCAGACCCACATCCCCAAATTATTCTAATAAATGAATGTATTTTCCAGTAACTCAACCAACTGTCAGTTTTTTAGGTTAAACTAGGCAAAATTAAAAGCATGGTTCTTGGGGTTGGAGAGAAGGCTCAGTGGTTTAGGGCACTGGCTGTTCTTCCAGAGACCTAGGTTCTGTTCCTAGTGCCCGCCCACCCATCTATAACTCAAGCTATGGGAGATCTGATGGCCTCTAAGTACAGGATATGAATTTGCCACACAGACATACATGCAAGCAACACAACCATACATATAAAATAAATATTTAAAAAAATAATAAAAGAGGATATATGTGTGTGTGCACAAGCCACATTTCAAAAGCGTGGTGGCCACATGGACCCAACTAATTTAGGGTCAGATTCCAATCAGGTCTGACTTTGCAGTGCAGGATATTCTTGGAGTTTAGATAAAACTGGTTTCAAGAACTGTAATAATAGATCAGAGCTGGGTCATGATTTCCTCTGCTAGGCAGGTTTCCATGAAATGATTTCATTTTCTCAGGCTTCACCTGGTCTCTTCCAGCATTACTGTAAACCCCACTGTTACAGAGTAGTGATGGCATTTGTGGACAGTCCAGGAGTCTCAGGGTTGGTTTTGTTAGTGTAAAAGTGGAAATGTCCAGATTCTGGTTTTACTTTGCCTACAAGGGAAACATGCACTTTATAACAAGCTCCCCAGGCCACTCATCCTTACTACCTCGGGTAAGAAGGAGTTACAGAGGCTTCCTAGTCTATGTGGACTACAATATGTGGCTAAAGCCAAAAACGTGCCTTGTATTTCCTCAAAGGTGCAAACCATGCCTGTGTCAGCTGAAATCCCTTAGTCACAGGCTACCACAGGTTCTAGATTTGGGACGCCCAGGGCTTCCCTCTAGCCACATAGGACCACTGAACATTTGCAACAAGGCCAGGGCTGCCTGCCTCCGGGCCACATGTGACCACTGGACATGTGACCACATGGCTAAGCAACAGAGGAGATTCATTTTGAACAATGTTAAATTTAAATGGAAAAAAAATGCTTCTTTCAATGACTGGAAAAAACCTTCATATTTTCAATAACTTAGATAAAAAATTTGCCCTTTTATTTGTAAGTTTTCTGAAGTCTACATAGATAAGAATTTAGCTCTCAAATTTGGCTTGTATTTGAAAAAGATATATAGATATAGATATAGATATAGATATAGATATAGATATGTATGCACACATGTTTTTAAAAATTTGATATAAAATATAAGATATTTCCCTCATAATTTTAATATTTATTAGTATTTGGAGTATATATGTAGAGATAGATAAAAACATAGTTTGACTTTTTAAATTGGACTTACGTATATGATTTATTATGTATTTCTGTTTGCCAGCTCTGTTTTAGACAACTACAGCAGTGCTTCTCAACCTTCCTAATGCTGTGACCCTTTGATACAGCTCCTTATGTTGCGGTGACCTCAACCATAAGATTATTTTCATTGCTACTTCATTACTGTAATTATCTGATATGCAGGATCTCTGATATACAACCCCTAGGAAAGGGTCATTCGACCTTTCAGTATAATCTGCTATAAAATAGCAGATCTCTTTCAGTCCATTCCTCCTCTGAAAGTCCTGTGTTTTCTTTTGCTTTTCCTTCTTCACTTATTGAGAAGAAAAAAATCTAGACCCCTAGGTTCCTGTTTTATTCCTAACTTGTCCCTATAGGCTAGTTCTTGCCCCCTCCCTTTCCTTCTCCCAGGCTTACTATTTATGTAGTAGAGATAGTGTGTGTGCAAGTGGTTTGTCAACTGGAAGCAGGTCAGACCCTGTTGAATAAGAAAGAATGGATCTTTGAAGTTTGTTCCCAATACCATTCAGCAAATTAATCCAATAGTGTTTATAAAGTTACTTTGAATGTCACATACTACCTACTTCTAGAAAATTTCAAATGTGTGGACACGCAAACACATGCACACACACACACACACACACACACACACACACACACACACACACACACAGCTGCAAAGTCATGGACCAAAACTACAGAGCAGGGTGATAACATGGAGAGAAGTTGGCTCTGCTCTATCTGGAGGGTTCTAGAAAAGCTTCGCAGACATTCCCATGTTCTTTCTCCCATGGTCCTCTTGGGAGGACTGCCTGAGCTGTTACTTCCCAGAGAACAAGAGGACACAGAAGCTGGCGGTCAAGTGTGGGTGTGTGATAAGTGGTGTGAAGGGTATTCCAGGACTTTCAGAAATGTGACATGGCTGGCTCATGTAATAGGGACCTGTGGAGGTGACAAAATAAGTATCTGTTGTGGAACACAGAGAGGAAGACTAGAGCACGGGGGAGAGGCAGACAGAATAAGAACAAATGGGAAAAAAAAAAAAACTCAAAAGCTTCAGCTAAGGGACAAGTTTCTTTCTTTAATCAGTAGATATAATAAAATAAATAAATAAATAAATAAATAAATAAATAACAAGTTGAAAATGGACCTGAGTTTGGGTTAGCCGACTCTTGCCATCTGTCCAGGATAAGCACCCTAGAGTATGGGATTCAGTAGCATTTGTGCTTTAATTCAAGTGGTCTAACAAAAGAAGTCCTCCATCTGCTGCCACCTCATAGTCCCTTCTTGAAATGTCATTCTAGTAGGTGGCAGACCACGAGGCAGAGGGGACCATACAAATGTGATGCCCCGAAAGCTGAGGAGGCTGCAGGTGTGCCCAGCTTTAGTGGTAGGAGAGCAAAGCTGGCTGAAGGCAAGGCATTGAGCTGCCTCCCACAAGCTAGACAGAGCCAGGCAGGGAAAAAAATGGAGGTCCAGAAGTCAGAAGCAACATCTTAAAAGACAAGATATGTGGTTTCACTAGCTGAGGGCATACAAGAAAGGAAGGGTAGCAAAGGTCACTCATGCCAAGGGGTTGGATGTCTTCTGAGTCCCTGAGAAACCTGGACACTGTGCTAGGCTCAGACCTGTGTTTCTGATGAATAGGAAGGGGGAGAGAGGATCTGAGCCAGGGTGACAAGTCAGTAGGTGACTTGGATAAATAGTAGACAATATAGAGTCTTGAACAGTGACTCTAGAGATGTTTATCAGATTAGTAAATACAACTAATTTATTGAGTTGAACAAAAGTCTAAATTAGGGCTTGAATTTTAACCGATATAAACAGAGTGTTTCAACTACAAAAAAAAAAAAAAGCTGAATGCATAAGGACAGAGGTAAGATGTGTGGTTTTAAGGAGTATTTTCAGTCAATATGAATATAGTTTGATATGTAAATAAATATAACACAAAAACCTGCAGCAAGAGAATGTGCCATACAGAAAGTTAAGCAAAGCTGTTTTGGGAGATACACTCACTCACTGGATTACATGATGTCACATTTGACAGTGGCAAGGAAAGTTATAAGTACATTGGCATTGTTTTTGTATATTATCTTGGCTATATAATAATATATAATCTGTAGGAAATTATTTTTTTCCTTTGATCACATAAAATGCGTTTTTAACCACATTCTACTGAGGAAAACATTTTAGGTGTTGTGTTATCTTTAATCAAAATGCCATTATTTTTCTCTGTTACAGTTAACGGATAGTAGAGAGAGATTGAGATATGAGCTGGATTGCGAAAAAATAGCCATTCAAGATATGGTAAGATGATTTATATTCCCCCTAAGGAATTTGAATTGGAGACTTTAGTTTCACCTGAATGTGTTTGGTGCTTCATGTGTAACTTTGCTGTGAGCAGTCTGTTTCTCCTTATCAAAATCCTAACTATATATATAATTGCAGAAACTTTTAAGTAGGCATTTGGAGGAAAAATTTGAATGCTGGTATGATAAGCTGGAAGTAAACTCTGGGTAAGAAACAGTATGACAACTTAAAAGAGTGTACAAAGTATTCACATTTTATTCTGGAAATCTGAAAGCAAAATGAAATATGAGAGCACAGGATTTTGAAGGATTTGCTATTTTTAGTTACAAATTGCAGTTAGTGACAACAAGAAAGGAGCCCAGCTCAATAGTTTGGCATTCTGTGGTAGTCTCCTAAGACAACACTGCCTTTTCATGGTCTTAAAGAGAACTTTCCAGACGGCTGGCCTTTTATCAGTTGACTCCCCACCCCCAGGCCCTCAGCACCAGCTCCTGGTGCTGTACTGGCTTTCAGCTGATCGCCACTAGTATGTCTTTGTTACAGTAAACTGTGTTTATTATAATAAAACATAAAACCCAGCTTGACTTGGGTCCCCAATGCGCTTGGAAAGAATATGACTCTGTCTGCAGGAGACTAGGTTGCTCCAGGAAAGCCACACCACTTCAGATAGTGAAACATTTGCTTTTTCACAGCTTGTCACACTTGTGCCAAGTTGTAACTGTCTCCCCAATTCTGTTTTGTTACTCCCAGGCACCCTGTGTTTTAGGTTCCTTGTCATAGAAATTAATGCAAAACAATGGTCCTGGATTACAATGAAGCCTTCTATTAAGCCAACTTGAGAATGCAGGCGAGGGAGGAAAAATTAAGACCCATTATTCACAAACACCACGTGTTAGCAAATGTATTATTTGGTCCTTTACTTTTAAATACCTACATATAAAAAACCTCCCTCCTTTGAGAACACTTGGTGAATTTCTGGTATTCTCACAGCCTGTCTTCCTCTGCTCTTCTAGTGAAGTCCAGCCTCTGCCTCCAAAAGAGCTAAACATACACATAGTGATTAAAGGGAGCTGTTTTTATGGGGTGGGAAGTAAATGTGACATTGTTAGTTTGTCAGTAGCAATTGAGAGGAACCACAGCCGTCCAGCAATGAATTTTGTGCCTGTACTGGGAGTAGACCCCATGCCCTTTTCTTTTTTAAAAACTGTAAGTGTTCAACGGGTGCTATTGTATCCCCCACAGGGGAACCAATCCTGTTTTATTTTCTTGTTTAGAAGTTTGTTGAGCCCCAAGCTTGTTGCCAAGCAGCAAGAGCCTGCCTCAAAAACAAAACAAACAAACAAAAAACAAAACAAAAACAAAAAAACAGAACAACACTAGAGTTTTTAGTATGCTTAGAACTAGTTTGGGAAGTTCCAGTTTTCAGTAGGGGCATGAGCTTAAGTCTATCCTCCCAACTAAGGTTGCTATGGTGGACTTTCTTCCCTCCCATCTCCCCCAGTAATTGATACTGCATTAGAGGGAAGTGACTTTTGGAATCTTTGCCACCGTTGTTTCGTGCTATGTTGTGTTTGTCCATAAACCAGAGTTTAGGAGTATGTTGAAAAGGAGTGGAAGAAAGTGGGAACTGGCCCTTATTTTATAAACATCTAATTTCTCACTAAAGGTCTTCTGTTTTTCCCAAAATATTTTCTGGCCTACTAAGAGTCTCATGTAAAAAGTAAATGTGTATTTAAAAAGCAACAACAATACAAGCATAGGTAGGCAATCATATGTATTATGTTAGAATTGTTACGAGACAAATGTTTGAGGACTCAAAGGAGGAAAGAGTCACTTGGGTGCATGGTTTCCAAGGTTCCAGACTGTGGCCCTCAAGGTTCATTGTTCCTAAACCTGTGATGAGGTATCCTAAACCTGTGGTGAGCTAGGACATTATTCCTAAGCCTGTGATGAGGTAGAACATCTGGAGGCAGAAATGGTGGAGCTTAAGGTATCAACAAGAGGCCAACATAGTCCCTAGAGGCATGCTTCATATTTCCTGTAGCTAAAGTATCACCTTGAAGTTTCAACTACTTCTTAATAATGCTGGCCACTTATTACTCCCCTAGTATACAAATCTACTGATTAGGGCAGAGTACAAATGACCCAATAGTTTCTCCATGATTGGATCCACTTTCTTCAGATTTAACCTTTGATATGCAAGTCTTTGGGGGGGGGGAGTTTCATGTTCCTGCAGTAACAAGGAGAAATTGTATCCCTAAAAGGATCTTGGAGGTGGCACAGGAAAGAGTTCTGCATCTTCCCACAGTTCCTAAGAGAATGTTTTTTATTTGTTTTGAAGTGCACAAATGAGCGAGTTCCCCATCGGAAGAGAAGCTTGGCTGAGCTCCTTTCTTGGTCCATTATCCATATGCTTCATCTCTCTCTGCTTTCTCAGAGCTGCCTAGGGGCAAGACAGACAGGGAGTACCATTTGTGGTCTAGTGCCATTCTGGGGACCAGCACTAACAGACGCCTGAGGTCTACTTGCTTCTGTAACTGGGTTCCAGAAGTCCAAATTCCCTCTAATGCATGCTTCAAGTCGATCCAGTCCTATTGTGTGTGATATGGCAATGTTTCCCCAACCAGATAGGAAACTGATGTTTCCAATAATCTGAGAGAAACCTCACTGATGCCAGAATTCTGGGAAGACCAGTACCAAATAAGCAGCTCTGCCAGGCATCCGGCCACACTGACAGCTCTTCTGAGAGCCATCCCTGGCCAGGCAGCACCTTCCTAGTGGAACATGAATGCTGATCCTTATGCTGGGATTTCTTTGCTCTATTACTCAGGTCAAAGCCTTCAAGTAACTAAGAATAATGAACCATAGTAGGTAAATTCTGCCTGGTTCTAATTTTAAAGAGGTCTTTGCTTTCCTATCAAGTATGATATTTGTTGTAGGATTTACTCCTGCCTGAACAGGCTTCTTTAGCCCTCAGAATGGGTGCATATAAGATGAAGCAGACTGGATGTTATTCTTCTCAAATACTTTACACACATCTATTTAGATAATCATACAGTTTTCCCCCTCTGATCTGATCACATTCAGTTGTTACATTAATAGCTCTTATCCAATCATTAGAAAGCTTCATGCCCTTTTTTCTTTTGCATTTTGTAACCATTGCCTTGTATTATGAGTGAGGCTCATCTGTGTTGTTACATCACCCTGCAAATGATAGTGAAGTAGATAAAGGAGAAAGGACCGATTATTAGACACTGACTCATTGATTTGTTTAGAGACTTAAGTACTGACTGTGCTGCCTATTTGCTAAGCATGACTTCATTTGCTACCTGGAACAGAATGGCATTGAGGAATACCTGAAACAATGGGTTGTTGCCCTTAACAACCTGCTGACTGCCACATAAGCTTTTCCGTAAAATCTCACTTGCCCATCTCTGCTACAATAAATCTTTCCACCAAAAGCCACCCGAGCCCCACTGCCACGTGTGCACTTTATGCCAGCCGCCCACTCGAGTTAGGGCCCAAATTAATACACAGAAACTTGTATAAGGTTTAAATGCTGCTTGGCCAATGACTAGGATTTCTTATCTGTTAGCTCAGTCTTAATTACCATAAATCTATATATTTTATAAGACTTATCTTATAGAGGATGCCTTTCACTGGCGCCCTCTCTTGCCGGTGACTCACATCCCACCGCTGGAGGAGGCAAAAGGGGAAAGGGACATTTCCTGTTTCTCCTTGCTTTAATATGAGTCTCCTTGCTATGTCACTTCGTGCCTGGATCACCACTTCTCTACTACATTTCCCAGAATCCTCTTTGACTCCTAGTCCTGTCTAACTTGCTGTTTCATTGGCCCTGTTTCATTGAACTTTATATAACAATCAATAAGATAAACATACACAGTACATTCCCCATCATCTCCTCTTTTCTGTCTAAATAAAAAGAAGGGTGACTTATCTTTTATAATAACTGAAGAAAGCTATAGCCATAACTATCTGTCTTTAACTCTATCAAAGACCACAGAAGGATAATATATAAACTGAGACATCTCGCTACCTGGACAGTCATCCGAAGTTCCTCTGTAACGTTGGGGCATCCATCTTCAGCCCATAGGCCACAGTGTATCTGGCACACTTCTCCTTTAGTACAGTCTTGTTTTGAAAGTTCAACAGTCCCTTTCTTGTGGGTCCTACATGTCCAGTTTATACAGCAACAAACAGTCCAGGAAAGAGCAGTTTCTTGCCCAAATGGCTAATCTTGCCATGTTGAAAGCCAACTCCACAACTTGTTTCTTTGATGCCCATCCTCCTTGCTGATGTAATTGATGTACCAGGAGCAGTTGTGTCTCACTTTCAAGAAAAACCCTAAACCATTTAAATGTCATATTTCTGTAGGTCTTTGAAAAGTTTGAAGAATACTTATCCATCTCAAATACATCTCTGTATATCGAGAAAACCTAACTAATCTAATTATAAGTTCTGACTATTATAGGTAAAAGATATGTATAAACATAATACCTAAACAAGAGCAGAGATATACATATCACAAAATTGACTTTAAAGTTGTATCAATAAATGCAAATCCATAATGCTACGCCCCTGTTCCCCATTATTGTCTATTAAGGCAGTGTAAGCCTAATTAGGAATAACTTTCTTATTGTTTAGAGTTGGGATTGGAAGGAGGTGTTCAAGTTAGACACCCTTTCCACATGACTTTAGGGCTAGCTGGAATAGACATAGTTAGGATGTGCAATAGCAGATTATTGTATCTTCTTGTATTTCACCTTTATGATTGTTAATTTTGGAAGTTTTACACTATTAAGTTTTAATCCTCTTTTAGACTAAAAGTAGCCTCGTGGCCTAGAAGCCCCTACAGGTGTGCCTGGCCATGCCCATGAGGGCGTGGTCAGAGGAGGTCAAGGATAACGCGGGGGCAATTCTTAAGGGGCTGCAGACACGTGGAGACTCCTCTCTCTGGCCTCCCTAGCTTGCTGCCT